TACAATTTGGAAGAGGGATGTCGTAATCCAACTTGCAGAACATTTGAAGGTAAGTGAATGACGATTCACTAATTTTCCACCATGAAAAACGAAAAGGAGATTAAGTTTTAAATGTATTGAAAACTCCTAGATCTTTTGAGATTCATTGAACTTTTCAATGGCATGTTTAAATCTCGATATGCCCCTCGATTTGTGACTGGGATGCCGAGGATCACAAAACAGGGTGTGAATAACCATGCAAAACTTACATGGTGCCCCCAATGTTACAGTCACCTATTTGATGTGCCGGTTAACCACACACGCTCCATCGAACTATGACAAACACCGAGTCACCCTTCGCTACCTTTGCTTAGAACCCATTTAGTGTGCCGGTTAACCACACACGCTCCACTAACGTCTCAACAAGGGTACAAAGTGTAATTCCATGGAATTGCATCGATTTCACTTTTTCCTAAAGTAACTAAGATTGGGAATTTGGTAAAAACATTTAGTTACTTTATTCATTATACTTTTAATGAGGAGAGGGGTTGCCCTATCCTACCCGTTCGGCTAACGACCCTCCACCAATCAAGGAAGCGGTGGGTGAGAGTGGACACCCATTAAACGGTCCATTTTATAGGCCATAACCTTATACCCCCCCTTATAGACCGGCTTCGTGAATGAAGCCTACTAACGGTAAGACTAGCAGTTTAAGTTATACATATATAATATTAGACTTTTAATTATAATAGATATATAGATATATATATATATATATATATATATATAGATATATATAATATATATATATAGTATAAGGGTGTATTTTACACTTTTAAAATACTAGGTGGGTTTTATTAATTTTCTCTTTTAATTAAACTTTTAATTAACTTAATAAAACCATAAGGGTGTAATTTGAACTATTTTGATTTAATAATTATTCAAAAATTAAACAATTAATTAAATTATTACATCAAATAAGGATTACCAATATAAATTAAATATATTAACTTAATTTAATCATATATCCGTGGATTTCGAAATTTAGGCAGGGATATCTTTAATTATCCAATTAAACAATTAACAAGATAATTACCAAAAATAACAACCTACTAACAGATTCCTTAGATTTCGAAATCTTCTGCTTGGAGTGGAAGGCAAGGCTTTCAAACTTGCCTAAAAACAAAAACCAAGGGTTAGGAACCCTAGATTTCGACTCCAAGGTGGCCAAAGGAAAGGGTTTGAAACCCTTAGGGATTTTCGAAAAATAGGGTTCTTAAACCCTAATTTGCGAAGATTTAAAGGCCTTAGGGTTTAATAGCCATAAACCCTAATTTTGTCTAGTTCAATCAATTGTACCAAATCTAATTGAAAACAAAAACCAGTCTCTGATACCACTGATGGGTTTTGTACATAACAAACAATCCTATGTGTGCATGAAACCCTAAGGTGAGGATCTATGTTTTCACTATTAGACATACAAGCATTGAACACAAAAACTAGAAACCCTAGGAGGCACATGTAATTTTCGAAATTAACATATAATTAGGGTTAGGATACATACCTTGATTGTTATATTGTAATAACAATCAAATCCTTGAAGATCTTGAACTTTGGTAGCAAGCGCCACAAGTGTCGCGCCTCTAATGGCTCACAAACAAACCTAGCAACCAAGGATTACTATGGAGAGAGAGAAGTAGAGTAGAATTTCGGCCCTTAGCCTTTCTTGGAGTGCCTTGGACGAAATCCAACCCTATAGGGGTTTATATAGATGATAAGGAAGGTTTAGGATAAGGCGGGTGTATCTTAGATAACCCTAATCCCTTAACTTCCTCCCTAAGGCTTCCAAGGCACCCTTAGAGCCCAAGGAAACCCTAGGACACTCTAGATTTCGTTCCCCACCTCTAAGGGAGGTTCTAGAATGCTCAATGCACAACTTTTGAACATTGTCACCTTTAGTCCCTGGCAGTTTCAATTAATTCCTTTAATCCCAAAATTAATTCCAAATTAATTATGATTAAATATTAATTAAACAATATGATTTCTAATTAATATATTATATCCATAATACATTAATAAATCATTTATATTGATTATTAATTTATTAACCAAGCAATAAATTAATAAATCATTCTTCTCTCTCCAACAATTACCCTATTCAATTGCCAGATTTGAAGGTAACCCAAAAGGACATTGCTACTATCAATTCAAATACATAACAATTATAGTTATGGGCTTAGACACCTAATCCAACAAGTCCGACATTGCAAGGTGAGTTATCCTCACTATACTCAAGGGTCTAAAGCACCAAGGCCGACCCTTTGATTTGTTATTTGAGATAGTTACTATTGTGATATGTTAGCTCGTCATCCTGGTAGATAGGATGGTTATATGCTAGTATGATTCGGTTAGATCGGTATCTGGTAGATCGGATGTGGTTATGCTTATGACCTATAGTTGGTCTACCGTCTGTATGCGTAGGAGATTACCTGTTATATGTGCACGTGATTGAGCAGTAGTGGGGGTATCCCATCCCGAGGATGATAGGACCCTAGTATGTTGTCTTGTGACTGTTATTGATTATCTGATATAGGTGCACATGTTTGATTGATAGTATGTGGGCAATCTAACCCGATGGTTGTGGGCTGCGAGTATTCCATTCCGAGGATGATTGGACTCATCGTATGTGGGCAATCCAACCCGATGGTTGTGGGCCGAGAGTATTCCATCCCGAGGATGATTGGACATTAAGTAGTTTGGCATTCCAACACGATGGTTGAGGGCCGGGGGTATTCCATCCCGATGATGATTGGACCCATAGTAGTTGTTTATGTGTAGGTGTGTGGCATTCCAACCCGAAGGTTGTGGGCAGAGAGTATTCCATCCCGAGGATGATTGGACTCGTAGTATGTTGGCATTCCAACCCGATGGTTGAGGGCCAGGGGTATTCCAACCTGATGGTTGACTGGACCCATAATATGTTGTTTGTTGCCATATGTGTATGGGTATTTTGGGGGTAACTCACTAAGCTTTCGGGCTTACAGTTTCAGTTTATTGTTTCAGGTACATCAGGAGATCGTGGCAAGGCAAAGGTGTGATCGTACAACTCCTTATTTTTTATGACTTTGTTTCTGGGATGCTCTGATGTGATACATTTTGAAAACAAGTTTTGAAATGGTTAATGGTTTTGGAAATGTTTTAAAAGTTTTAAATTGGCTTGAATTCTATGGGTGTTACAAAATGACTAGATCTATCTCATACAAGTGTAAAGTCCCAAGCTTTTTACCTTCTAGAGCTTCTAGGGCACAAACCAACTTCAGATCTACAAGCTTGATCTTCTTCTCCAACTCCTTGATGCAATGGTCTTCAACCTTCAAGATCAAAAGCCTCAAAATGCACACAAACTCACACTTAATAAGCTCAAACCCACAAGGAAAGGCTAGGGTTCTCTCAAGACGACTAAGGGAGGTGTGGAGGCTGAATGAGATGAGAGGGAATGGTCCATAAAGTGTTTAAATACTCCACAAAACCATAAAAGTTGGGCTCCTTCCTGGACACGTACGCCCAGCGTACTAGGGTGCACCCTAGTACGCTTAGCGTACCATATGTACGCCCGGCGTACTACTTCACTCCTAAAACTACCGTTTTGCCACTAGGGCCTCCTTTTGCCACTTCCTTCCAAATTAAGGGCCACAAGTGACATAATCAAAACCGGGGGGATGAATTTTGAAGCTTCTTGAAAAATGGGATGTTACAATTTTATATCAACTTAATAACTTCAAAATCAATATTACACCATAATACTCTAGTCCAACTATATTTAAGTGAAAGAGAAGGTATTTAGTCTCTCATATTTATAGAAAAGCACAAAGAACAAATAAAAAACATGTTAAGCATTGCAAACCTAATATTTTCTTCAAAAAAATTTATTTGTAACTCTTCTGTCATTTTTTTTACAAACCAAAGGTTATTTTTCGAACCTAAGAAGGTTTATTTTTTTGCACATTTTTTCAGAGATGTGAAAATCTAGTACTTATTGGAAAATAAACTTAGCAACGCTAAACCTTTGTCTTTACGTCGCTAACCGTTATCCTCATTGATTCCTCTCAAAGTAAAACTCATATTTGCATCGCTATCTCTAATCTTTGCGGCACTAAGCCACCTTTTATGGTATCTTCGAAATTCTTCCTTGTCCACTCCATATTTAACTCCATTTCCCTTCTTTTATCATTATCTCCACATTGTGGACTCATTTATCAAATATGAAGTATTTTATATCTCATTTATCCTTATTTTACATTTATTCATCTAAAATACTAATACATTTTATCATATGTTATGACTAATAGTAGCAAACTAGCAATATTAGCATTCGATATGCAAAGTCCTTAATTGCCTTTGAGGAGAAACCTATGACGCATATAGAGACGTGTAAGGACAAAGTATAGCTGTTATGAGACACTTGAAGAAGACTCGATGATTTTAAACTAGTTGTACTGAGTCCTTCTTAGGAGCTAAACGTCAGTGACATTTTGTTAGTAAATATGCATGGAGATCCATTCATCGAAGTAGAGGAGACGATTAATATCCTAACGTTTTCCATGTATTGTAACAAACTCTAATTATAGATACTCGATGTATACATGAATATCAAGAGTTAATAATGTTCATGAAATTTGAACGCGATCTCTTCAATCAGGCTTTTAACCTTAGTCAGCAAACATTCAAAAATTAATATTCAATAAGTACCAAAAACAAACTTCTTATCATATATACTAAATCAAATATTATAAATATTTGAAAACCCAGAGAATAGAATCATAAATAACAATTATGCATATCCAGTTATTATTGTCTATTGAAACATTAAAACAACAATATAACGTGTTAGGAGGAATATAAAATGGTAATAAATAATAATGTGGGTACCCTCTACCCATCCATCATCCCCGCCGTCCATTCCCACATGCATGTTCCCATTATATTCATGTATTTGCCACCTCTTCTCTTTGGCATTTTATCAAACGCCTCGTCTTCATCAATTATCGTTCTTTCTCTCTTCACCCAACAATCTCTTTTTCTTCAAAGCTTCCATTTGCAGATGGAGAACAGCAACCCAGAGATTCCATGCAAGATCAGAAAGCGGAGGTTCCCGACAACTTCTTCCTCATCGTTTATAAACAGTAAATATGTCGCAACTTTTAATCGAGCAAACAGATTCACTGCAAAATGAGAAATGTATGAATAGGTTGGATCGGAGTACCTTCCAAACAGATGAACAGGGGATAATGACATTGCAGAAGTCGGGAGCTGATAATCGACTGCATGAAATGTACGAGAAATCGATTGCGAATTTGAATCGATCTCGAAACAAGAGTCGCGAATCTCCTTGTCGTGATTCTGCTCCCGAGGTTTGTTCATTATTTCTTTGTCAACTTTAAACCATATTTTGTTTACATTGTAACTTGTTAATAGTTATTTTTCTTCATGTGTATACATATATTTTTCTTTTCGATTTTGTGCAGTTCATTTTAAGTAAATGTATATGCTAACTAGTTTTTTTTTTTCAAATTTTCATATTTAGATAATCATTTATCAGTAAAAACGTATTAACAAATGAGAAATAATATTACTTATTTACCTCGTCATATATATAACTTGTTTTTAAGTTAATTTATATTAACGTCATTTTCAGTCATGTAACTAAATAAAATAGACTTCTCTTTTATGAACGTCTTTTCCCATTTCACAAACATGTCCTTTTTATAAATGTCTATTTTATAAATGTCTTTTTTATCTTTTCATATAACTTAATTTATAAACGTCTTTTTTAGTCATGTTATCTAAATAAAAGAAATGTTTTCATATTTACGTCTTTTCTATCTCTCTTTCATATAACTTAATTTATAAACGTCTTTTTTATGAATGTACTCTTTTTCTATTTCAAAATTTTATCCACATAAAATATATGTTTTATTGACTTGTCTCAGTTGTAAAAATGTTTTATTTTATGTGGATGGATAAATTTCTTATGTTTGAACAATCTACTCCCATTTTATAAACATCTTTTTTACTGCCTTCATATAATGTAATTTACATACGTCTTTTTTTGTCATGTTATCTAAATAAAATAATCTTATTCAAAGATCTAGAATTTAGTTACAGTTAATATTATCAGTTGATTATCCGATTTTGAGTATTTAGTATCACATACACATAAAAATACCATCTTAGTATTATTCTTACGATGCAAATCATCTTTTCCAATATTAAATTAACTTAGATGATAGAGGGAATATTAGAGGGAAATATTATTTTCTCTTTGAAATTATCTTGGTTAATGAGTTTTTTGTAATTTTAGTCTTATTAAAATGATGCAATTTGTTTAATCAAAATTTATATTTTAAAGAACTTATAAAAAAAATAAAAATGAAAAATAAATATTAGAGACATAACTGGACTTATTGTAAGCTACACATACAAATTAAAATATTTGTCACAATATTATATATATATATATATATAGATAGATATGATATATATATATATAGATATAGTATACTATATCGAATAGATAATATATATGTGCTATTGAGCCTAGAATTGTGCATTGAATGGGTAAAAATAAACAAATTAAAACACATCATCACTAAGTTATATATAGATAATATATATATATATATATATTATATAGATTATATCTATATATATTATATATATAATACTATATATATCATTTTGTTTGCACACAAGATTATTTGTACGACCTAACACTAAAATAATTTGTGACAAAATATTTTTATTTTTTTATCAGCCAAAAAAAAAGTCGGGATCTCCTTCTAGTACTTACTGAAATATATTATAATAACTATTTTTATATAATATTTATTTGTACCATTTTAAAACCATAAAAAATGGTATATGAGTCATAAAGATATTGATTTGGAGACAAAGTTAGTTAAGGATCCAATGTGCACAAAAGATACTTTAATATTTAATACATAACCAATATGAAAAAAAGTAATAACAAGAATTGTTATTTAGTGAATTTTAGTTTTTATTACTATTTATAACATTGATGGCAACCATATATTTATCGCATTTTGCAGGTAATAAATCCACGCTATGGTGGAATGCCATTGATTTGTGATGCCAGGCCAAATGAGGTAACGTTTGACTTTTAATTCTTAAGGTCAAATTTAATATCAATTTCAAATAATAAATCCAAACTTTGAAATGTATTCATGTGGTAGAAAAAAATACAATTTTTTTTCGGTAATCTTACAAAAATGCAAGACTGCGTTTGGTGGAAAACGTTTATTTTGTTTCTTTCTTCTATTATCTTTTTTAATTATTAGTTTACCTTTATTAATAGAGCGACGGGTGTGGGCAACGCCATAAGGGCGTTATCTGACGTGGCTGTGCCCATAACGACGCCATAACGCGGAAACACTGCCCCAGCTTCCCGTTATGGGGCGTTACGTCATGACGCGTTACCATGGTAACAGATGTTAACGTCATTTTTTCGACCGTTGCATTTTCTTTTCCGTTGAAAAACGGTAATAACACCAAATTAGAATAATAGAAATTAAAAACATCAAAAAAAAATAGAAAATAGTATGTGTTATCTCATGTTATTTGGTGTTGCCCATTTCCACATTTGGTGTTATAACACCAAATTGTGACTAGGATGATGAGGTGGACAATTTGGGTGTGGGAATATGTAATAACATGTTGCCCACACCTAGTAGTCTTATTATACATAGCAATAACAAGAGACCCTATAATGTTATTGAAACAGGGTTTTATTTTAGAAACTATTCCTAAAATTATATTAATGTCAACATATTTTCATTCAATTTCTTAAAAAACTCTATTATTTTCGGTAATTTGAAAGTTTGAAACCCGCATTATGAAATTGTCTAATTTAAAGTTTTGAAACCCCTATTCAGAAAATATAGGAGTTTTAACGTTCTAATATATATATATATATATATATATATTATATATATATATATATTTATATATATATTGGTTTTTTAATTGTCGGATGAAAATAGGTTAAGTTCTTTCCAAGATCAAAAAACTTTAAATTAGAGATTTAAAAATTTATAGGGGTTTTAATGCACTAAAAAAATTAATATAATGGTTTTTTTTTAATAATTAGATGAAAATATATTAGATTTTACTGAAATTTGTTATTTTTATTTTTAATAGAAACATGAAAATATTTTATAAAAGTTGAAAAAATATTCTCAAATTAGAATTTCTTCGAACTATGTAAATTGCATAATAACATTAAGGTTTAAAATATAAAATATCATAAATACTGAATTCACAACACCACAAGAATAACTTATCTATCTTTGTTTGGAATATAACTCCATGTCTCATGTTATATCCTTGTTAGGTGTTATCATTTTGTTTGCACTTTGTTTTTTAGCGGTTAAAAAAAACAGGAAAGCTAAGAAAAAATGGAATTATTAATTTATTTATGTTTTTTATTTGGAAATAAAAGAAAATCTAATATGTTTTATGCTTTCTAGGGAAAGGAGAAAACTCTAAAATCTCCCCTAACATTTATGTTCTAGAATACCTTTAAAAATAGTTTTTATTTTATTTTTTTTTATTTTTTTATTTTTTTATTTTTTTATATTTTTTGTGTTTTCCCCTCTTCCTCCAAAATAAAAGCGTGATAGGGTTTTTGGAATTGCTTAGGGTTTTTGGAATTGCTTATTTAAAGTATCTATTGATTTATTTTGCTTTTGACACCGGTAATAATATGTTTTTTATGTTTGGATAAAACGATTCCATAAACACTTAAATAAAGAGTTTTTGATAAGTCATTTGTTATTTATTTATTGACTTATTTAAAGAGTTTTTTGATAAACTGATTTATTATTATACATAAAATAAATATTTATAGTTTACAGTTTACCAAACCATAAAAATATCTTATTAATTTAATTCGTTTTGATACCAAATAAAACAATCCATATATTTTTTTTTCAAAAGGATAAGCTAATTTTCTTTTTTCTTTCATTTAATGCCTACTAAGTGTGAGACTCGTGTATTACACGAGTTTATTAAAAAATAAAATTTTAATATCAATATATAAATATGAAATATTTTATAATGTAATACTTTACATAACATAATGTAATCTTCTGAAAATTTGCAAAAGAAATTAAATCGTTTGAAGTATTTATGAGAATTTATTACCAAATTAATAGGATGATTTTATTTCTTTATAGAACCATTACAATTTTATGGAATTTTATTTTAAGAAAATGAAAATCCCTAAAAAAATGACAAGTGGAAAATAAAATTTTTAAAATTCTTACAAAATGACAAGTGTCAAAATAAAGGAGAAGATGACATGTGTCAAAAAAAACATTCATTTATTAAAAATGATTAAAGAGGATTGGTGTTCCAATAGTATCTTTTTGAAGTCTTAGAGAGGAAGAATAAATACTTTTACAAATAAACATAAATTATTTTAAATAAATAATACCGACACCCCTTTAAAAATTATATCCATCAGTCCAAATTTGTAAAGTTTGCACAATTTTAAATAGTTATGATAATGTATACGCATCTTATAAATTATGTAGAATATAAATATAAGATAGTATGGATACATGAATAATTTTAAAAGCAAATGGGAATAATTATTTATTCTTTGAAAAATGGGTATCAATTATGTAATGTTTTGTAACATACCACTAGTCCTATAAGTCAAAAAGACAGCAAGCGTGGGGTCACCCCTCTATATTTATTTCAGAATTTTTAAGTTTTGGTCAATAAACGATACAAAATTCAAATATATATCATTATTTATACCCGAATTATACTCTGACAACATTGACAAATTAACACAATAAAGAGATTATAGCACTAAAACATTAAAAACCAAAGAGTTTCTAGCACAGCGGTATCAGGTGGTGCTTTTTTCGTTTGAAGTCGGGGTTCAAGTTCCGTCGTGAAAAGAAATGAAATTAAAAAAATAATGAAATTAAATACCTACATTATTTTGTCTAACTTTGTAAATAAGATAGAGTGGGGGTCAACCTCTATATTAAAATTAATTCTCATTGCACTCAATTATTTTGCCAACTTTTTGCGGTTTGCATCCATTATTATTTCAATTAACGTGTCTTGTTATGAGGTTCTCAATTGGGATGTTTGCATATTAAACCGATATTCAAGGGTTTTTAGTTTAGCGGTATCTGATATTTTTTTTTTCTTTTTAGATTGAAAGTTCAAGTCTCGTTGTAACACATAGATGAAATTAGGTGTTAAATTAAGAATAAATTAGATTTATCGGTTCAAAAAATAAACATATTAAATGGATATAAAATTAGTATTGCTTCAAAACCATTTTAAGAGATTCTACCGATGATTTTCGACCGATTTAATTAAATGTTTTGATTTTAATTCCGATTGTTGATCTTTAGAGAGAAATATGTGTTTACGCATATAAGTTAATTTATTTTTTTAACTTATTATAATATAGTGTTTGGTAAAACTAGTAAAATAGTTTAGAAGTTAAAAAAAACTATTAGAGATATAGCTTATTGATGGAGTGGTTTTTTCTATAGGTTTTTAAAATATATCATTATATATTCATTTCATATTATATACTCATGAATTTTAATTATATTTATATTTATCATCTAGTTTTTTGGTTATTTTTTTAATAAATATTTTTATTTTATCAATTACTAACTAACTATCTTTTAAACTCGTCTGTCATTTGTCAAACATAGCCAAAGTAGCTTGTACCAAAAAAAAAAAATGTTTGACCCGTCTTTTTGTATTTTTATGGTAAAGGGGAACTTATGAATTTTACAATATATATAGTAGAAAATAATAATGAACTATATTTAAATGAAAACATGATTGTACATTTGTACATAAGGCGTTATTACTTTACCATTATCTATTTGACGTTTTCCATAAAGCATAAATGATTGATGTAAATAAATATTATAATACTCCAATAATTGCAAATAAATGTGACAGTCGGTGGTTCAATTAGATAACTAAAATAGCAAATCTATAGTAAGAATTAGACTACTACATGTCAAAACGTGCCTGTTTTTTTTTTTTTTTTTTTTTTTTTAAATTACATATTTATTTTAAATATTCTGCTCATGTTAGGTCTACCTGTAAACACTCTCTCTGTTTTTTTTAAGTTTTTTTGAGCCATTATGAAATCTGCATACATTTAAATAAATTTTAGACAACTTCACATGATTCATGCAAATAGCCTAATGATGATCATTGAAACAAATTAGAGTTGATCCAGATTCTAAAGTTAATATGATTCATGCAAATATATAAGATTTCTCTATTTGTCATCCAAAACACGACTTTTTTCTCTTATCAACATAATTGTAACAAAAACTATTAAATTTAATTTGTCGTATTCTTATTGTGTTATGTCAGGGAAAACCTCGAACATGTGTCAAAATCAATACCGAGACCAAGAACAACGAACACTCGGTGCCAAAATCGACACATGGATTGGATGAAATCAAGCATTCACTTACAATATCAAAAGAACTACTCAAACTTCTAACTCACATTTGGACTGTGGACACGAATCATAACCACCATCACCACCATCCAACGAGCCTTTCCCTGGTTTCAACCCTAAATCATGAGCTCAACAAGGCTCGGTCACACGTGAATAAGCTAATCAAAGAACAAAGATCTATGGACACACTTTGCGAGTCGAAAGACCAAGACAAGGTTCGCTTAGCTGTCAAGACCATAGCACATGAATTGGAGACCGAAAGGAAGCTCAGACGACAGACAGAGCGGATGAACAAGAAATTAGGTCGGGAATTAGCGAATACAAAAGCTTCTTTAGGAAAAGCGATAAAAAAAGCCGAAGCCGATAAGCAAGCGACTGAGATGTTGGAGCAATTATGTGAAAAGATGGCACATAGTATTGAGGAAGATAGAGTTGAGCTTGAAGAATTGAAGAAAGAATCGGAAAGAGTTCGTGAAGAAATGGAAGAAGAGAGAGAAATGTTACGTGTTGCGGATATGTTACGTGAAGAAAGAGTCCAAATGAAGCTCATAGACGCAAAGTATGAATATGAAGATAAACACGAACAAGTAAATGTTCTCGTACATGACCTAGAACAATTGTTGGAAGCCGATAATGGCATCGACACTTTAAAATCAACGCCTGAAGTTCTAACATGGTATCAAAGAAAAGTAAACAAGAGTGAAGATGAAAACACCACCAGGAGGGGAAGAAAGGGTGAAGGGATAAGTGGCGGAAATACCCTTGTAGAGGGAACTAGGGATTTGTCATGGTATGATAACATCAAGGGTGAAGTAAATGATGAAATAACAAGCACACGGGACGAGGTCGTCGGGCGTAACTCAGATTGCATTGAGTGGGAATTCGGACTAGACATGAGAAACGGAAATGGAGACTTGAATGAGTGTTTGGAAGAGACGGTTTTAGGGTTTTCTTGTTCATCTACGATGAAAGAGTATGAAGATGAAATGGAAAGATACAAATTGATCAAAGATTTACGTGATCGTATAGTGTCGTGTTCTGATCTTTCTCGAGATACTCTCGGGTCCGGGTCTTATATATAAGTTGCCTTGTAAATTATATTACATGTAAGCTCATGTCTTTGACATGAGAATATACCACATCTATTGAGTATATGAACAACAATACAATTACATACCTCATATAACATCAAAGGGTTTGTAAATAAAATTGAAACAAAACAAAAAACCAGAAAGACTATTAAAAAAACCGAGTTGTTATGGAAAACCAACAGGTCTCTTTTTGTGTTAAAAACAAATTTTAATTTTTAAAACCCAAAAAAAATATTGGAGAGTAAATTATACGAATCGTCCCTGCCAAAATGCATGTTTAGTCACTGTTTTTCAAAATTAACTTTGATCGTCCCTTGTTTTGTTAAAAGCTAGACATGTCATCATTCGTTAATTTAAATTTGCAAGTTTCATCCCTTATGAGACATGAAATGACTATTCTACATTTTTTTATTTCTTTTCTTACAACTATTTACAAAATACAACGTAAAATAAAAACTTCACCCCACCCACCTTATCATAACCCTTCTTTTTCAACCCTCTTTCCCCTAAATTCTTTGATTGACAAATCATCACCATCGCCAGACCATCACCACCCACCATCGTCAGCCACCACCTCTTTTTTCTCACAAAAACACCATCAACGACCCTTCTTCCCTCGTTCTTCTTCCGGTCCTTATGCCACCAACAAATCATCTGTTCCCCTTGTTCTTCTTCCCAGTCGGAGCAGAGAAACACAAAAAACACACACATGTGTTGTGTTGATTCAGTGGGGAGAGAGAGAGAGAGAGAGAGAGAGAGAGAGAGAGATCATCATTGCCACCTGTGTGCTAGGGTTTTGAGATTTACCTGCTAGGGTTTCAACGTTGTGCTGGTTTTCGGAGATAAAGTCGTCATCGACACATGTTTGCATCTCCTCCCTCTTCATATTCTGTGTTGTGTCAGTGATGTGTCAATGATGTCAGATCTGCAAGTATCTCTCTAAGAAACCACCTGAATGCTACTATCCCTCTGCCACTATGCATTGTCGTTGCCCAGGGTTTCAAACCGAGCTCCACCGTCAGAATCGAAGCCTTAAAAAAATAAGTTATTAAGGACAAACTACCAAGGTTCTAAATAACAAAAGGCGTGACTTGGCGGCAATGTCAAACATCAAGTTTTTTCAAGCTGTGGTGTGCCATGTTGTTTGTAAGGCGTTACTTAAGACGTAAATTTTTATAATAATCTAATATTATATATATAATATATATATATATATATATATATATATATATATATATATCTATATATATATATATAGGGTTAGGTTCATGTGAGACGGCCTAATTTTGTGAGACCGTGAGACGCATTTTTTTTATTTTTTTTTATTTTTTTTAGTTAATTCAAGTTCCGAAAATAATATTTAAAAAAAGAATTTTTGGATTTTTCCATTTATTTTGCATTTTAAAATTATTTTTAGAATATGTACAGTGTAATATTCTATTAGAATATTTCACGTATTTTTCAAAAAAAATAGGATTTTTTTTATTATTTTTTTATTTTTTTAATTAATTCAAGTTCCGACAGTAATATTTAAAAAAGAATTTTTAGATTTTTCCATTTATTTGCATTTTAAAATTATTTTTCGAATATGTCAGGTAATATTCTATTAGAATATTTTCACGTATTTTTCAAAAAAAAAACGGGATTTTTTTTTATTTATTTATTTATTTCTTTTTAGTTAATTCAAGTTCCGAAATAATATTTAAAAAAAATTTTTGGATTTTTCCACTTATTTGCATTTTAAAATTATTTTTAGATTTGGTCTCACGGTCTCACACAATTAGAATAGTCTCAAATGAACCTGAACCTATATATATATATATATATATATATATATATATATATATATATATATATATATATATATATATATATATATACATATTCTACTATTGTTCATTTTTATATACATATATGACTTAAATCGACATTTTGTTAAAGTTTGGCGGCAAGTATAAACCTTGGAGCCATGACACATCATGGCGAAGCCATAACGAGCTTTTTAGAACTTTGCAAAATACTCATTTCATGTTGATAGGAATGAAACATGTAAGTTTAAAACAAACAAATAATCGTCCGAGTTAATTTTTAGAAATAAAGATTAAACGTGCATTTTAACACATACATGAAGGACATAATATACCGGGTTAATACAATGTCAAGTAACTTTACAATGTCAAGTAACTTTCCAGTTTGGAATCGAATGCATCAGTTGTAAGATATAATTTGTAGATCTCTTTGCTATTATTATACAGGGTTATTGTCATACATAGGTAAATTTTTTTTTTGTTTTTTATATAAAAGACAAATTGTATCAGAATAAGTACCATATGTAAACAAAGATAAACAACTAGAACATTTGTTTACAAAATACTATTAAAAAGCATAAAATAAAGTTATTTTGTAAATCAAAAGTTCCAATTCCTTAGTCACTTACCATCTCATGATAGTTTTTACTTTTTTTTTTAACAATGATAGCCTCACAAAATTGTTTATTTTTGTGAGGCTAGAAACGATTAGGCAAAAACCAAAGCAAACCATGCTCATGCCAAGATCCAAGAAAATCAATCATAAAACCCTAAATCTAATCAATCCCATCAAGATCAGAAGTATAATTAATTTATTCAAAGAAAATCAAGGGCAGATCCGCAGGTTGATGAATAATAAATTCATCAGGTACAACAAAGGCAACTATACACAATTCAACATGGCTAGATTCAAGAAAAGTAGAAAACAAAAAGTAGCAATCAAATTACATAATGTTAAGAAAACATAAATTTTGCAAATGCCATGATTATTTATGAGAGCCTTCGGTCTTTTCAGATGTGAAAGACACGGGGGTTGCAGGATCATCCTTCACAATCAAGCTAAGAACTTCGGGTCTTGCGTAATGTCCAACCACATCAAAATCAAACTTTGCACGCACAATTTCTCCAAGATCTATACCAAATTTAACCATTTCCATGTCATAATAGTAATAAAAATCTCAAATTTGAAGATTTTTAAAAAAAAGAAAGAAAAACCAAAGAGATTGTTAAGCTCACTTGTTTAATTTAATCCGAATGCTACAAAAAACCACTGTAGTTTGGATTTTTCTTTTTTTGTTTATCCACTGAGAATTTTTTCTTTCTAGTTTAACCACCAAGAGTTTGTTTTTTTTTTTTCAAAAATAAACCACTCTCCATTTTTTCCATTAGTGACAAATAACAAACGAAAAATTATCTTTTCAGTGAAAGATGTCTTTTTTTTTAAAAAAAAATTCAAACTTTCGATGGTTAAATCGAAAAGAAAAATTCCTTCAGGTGGTTAAACCAAACAATTTTAAACTCATTGTTTTTATAGAATTTGAAGTTTTAAGTAGTGTTTTCGTAAATAAAAGCAAAATTCTCAGTGGTTAAAATAGAAAAAAAAACTCTTTGGCTGTTGAACGAAAAAAAAAAAAAAAAAAAGAGTAAATTACACGAATGGTCCTTATGGTTTGGGGTAATTTGCACGTTTGGTCCCTAACTTATTTTTTTAACTTGGAAGGTCCCTACAGTTTGTTTTTGTTGCGCGTTTGGTCCTTGTCTTACCTAAAAAGACTATTTTGCCCTTGATTTTTTAATTTATTTAAATAAGGTAGGGTAGATAAGGTAAGGTAACGTGAGGTAGAAGTGGGGTTGGGGGTGTGTTTATTTAAATAAATTGAAAAATCAATGGCAAAATAGTCTTTTTAGGTAAGACAAGGACCAAACGTGCAACAAAAACAAACTGTAGGGACTTTCCGAGTTAAAAAAAATAAGTTAGGGACAAAACGTGCAAATTACCCCAAACCATAGGAACCATTCGTGTAATTTACTAAAAAAAAAAGCCAAACTACACTGGTTTTTATGGAGTTTTCCCTTTTTTTTAGGGTTAATGTCATAAAATGGGAATGACCTAGTTTGATCACTGAACTTGTAATGTTGTTCCATTGAGGTCACTCTCCCCAATTTTAACAAGTTTCACTGATGAAACATGCTGATGTGGCATCCATGTGGCGCTAAGGTTTATTCTAGTATTAAACTCTTTATGTGGCAAAAAAAAGGAATAGTTCATTTCATTTCCGTTTAATGTCCTAAACCCTGAGATAAAACCCATGTGGGCGCCATGTCAGCACCCTTTGACGCCACATCAGCAATGTAACCGGTCAAACCAATTAAAATTAGGATACGTGATTCCCATTTATGACATGGAGTCATGGACACCTTATTTTATCATCTAAATCATGAAGAACATTATATAATATGCAAAAGTTTTTAAAGCCAAAAGTAGGATACCTAAATCAGCTGTAATAAGTGCTTCCCCATCATAATTGGGTCCCGCAAGAACAGTTCCTGATGGTGAAATTATAACACTGCCACCAGCACAAACAACAGATTCTGGTGTAAGATCTTCTTCTGTTCCAGTAAACATATATTCTGGAGGAGGAGGATAATCTTTTCTTCTACAAAATTGATTTGCAGATAAAACAAAACATCCTCCTTCTAATGCAATATGTGTCATTGATGCTTGCCAAATTTCCCTTGAATCAGCTGTTGGTGCACAGTATATCTCAATTCCTATAAATGCATAAAAAAGAGCCGTATCAAAAACTCAAAATTTGGACTAAAACTGCACATCGGTGTAAAGTGTAAACCACAGGGACTAAACCTGAAATTAATGCAAACTAAAAACTATAGAGACCAAAAGCGTAATTAAACTAAAAGGACCATGTAGTTCAGTCGTTTCCTCGATTGAAAACTACAGGGACTAAAAATGTAAATCATGTAAAATAAAAACTACAGTGACCAAAACTGTAATTATTGATCGAACCTTTAGCATACATTGCAGTCCTTAACAATGGCATTTTATTCTCCCAACAAATAGCTGCACCAATTTTCCCAATTTGAGTATCAAAAACAGGCACAGTTGACCCATCACCAAATCCCCAAATTATCCTCTCCAAAGCCGTTGGCATCAACTTCCTATGCTTCCCAAGATAACCTCCTTGATTATCAAAAAACAAAACCGTACAATAAAGGGTATATCCGTCTTTTTCTATAACCCCCATCACCAAAAACACTTTATACTTCCCCGCCATTGCCCCCAATCGATCAACTTCCGGACCTAAATAATTCAAAC